AATAATTATAAATATTTAACAAATATAATAAAAATTAATTAATTAATTGATTGATTTAGGGAGATTATGAGTGGGAGAGGGGCAGAGAGAGAGGAGAGAGAGAATCCCAAGCAGGCTCCACACTGTCAATGCAGAGACCGATGCAGGGCTTGAACTCACAACTGAGATCATGGTCTTGAGCCATAATTAAGAGTCAGGATGCTTAACTGACTTAGCCACCCAGGTGCCTCTATTTTTTTAATTAACCTAGGAGAAAATTGACTAGCCTGTGGCCAGCATCTTTTCATAAGTAGGAATACTTTGAAATATAGAGTCTGTATAATGGGATGCATTTTGTTTTAAAGTTTTTCCTTGCCTTTAACTATCCTTACTTTGTCTCACCTTTTACTTTGGCTTGGGCAACTGATCCTTGCTGCTGTACATGGCTGATTTAAGACTTCATAAATCGTAAAGACATTGTTAATTCTACAGATCATGGTGTTAGAACTGACTTTTTACCCTGGAGCCTTAAACATTAAATGACATTATAGCAAACATTTACCATGCATCTTATAATTTATTGGCACTTTTTTCCATCCCCCTCAAATTTGGCAGTTTTAGGTATTGGCCTCTTTGAAGGCACTAAGGATTACATTTTGCCCTAACTTGAGTAGTAACTGCCAGAGCCCACTTAACCTCTTAGGGCTAGAGTGAAACTTCATATAATGAGGGGGTTGGACGAAATGATCATAAGCCTGTTGCAGCTCAGTGACTCTATTAAAATTCTGTCACGATTCATTCTTCATTCCTGTTGGTCAGAAGGCATTGTGTATTCAGTTTTGAATACACAGTAAAAAAGAAAAATATCAGTTAAAACGTAGGTTAATAATGAACTTGAGGCATTGCATTTTCAGTTTTGAAACTGATGATTCTTGGGAAGGGAAAGAAGAAATAGATGTATACTTACTGTCAAAGGGCAAGCTTTTTTAAAGAAAAAACTTGGCATTTAACTTGAAATGAGTGCATAAGAATAGTCCCTATAAAAAAAAGTTAAATGCAAAATATTTGCACAGACATTTACCAGTGTCAGAATAAATTGTATCAAGTGGAAAAGTTGGAGGGAGGCCAGTAGCTGCTGTCCTTGGGGTATTGATGTTTGACCTTGTACTTAAAGCTTGCTTGTGACCTCACCTCATGCATCACTGGTGAAGCTGGATTTAAGTGGAGTGGGGGGGAGTGAAGAGGAGACAGTGAGGATTTCTTCTTACTGGGGCAGTTATACTTCACAGGGTGGCTTTGTTGGGATGGATTGTTATCATCTCTCACAGATCAGCTGGAAGCCTTTAGGTAAAGAAAGCCTCTTATTTAGACATAACAGGATAAATTTGACTGCATTATTTATGCAGTTAGATGAGATGTATAAGATGAGGAAAATAGATTGGAATTGATTGTAAATGCATCTCTTTCTCAAACTTTGAGGATAGAGTCGTTCTGTTTTTATTGTTTTTTTGCTGTGAAATAGTTTGGCTAATGTCATGGAGCAGTTTTATACTCTACGTAGAAAAGGAAAAGAGAGCTAACTTATTTTCCTTGCAGTTCTCATTTGGTAACTTCACTAGTAATGTGTAAGCTGACACGTAGATGTTCAGATTCAGTAGCATGAACATGATTTTTATGCTGGCATAATTTATATTTGCATTTGTGGTAGATCTTACCTAGGCCCCATTCAGTTGGAAGTATTGCTTCCAGTTCCTTTGAGAACTACCATAGGGCAACTTGTATGTCTCTCATCTACCAAGAAGTATAACTTTCTTTTAGGCATTGGAGTTTTTGTATTAAATCTTGATGTTTCTGATCAATACTTTCCTCACCTTGAATAATGGAGGGAACAGAGGTGAGCACTAAGATTCAATAACACTTTTCTCTGCAGAAACAAATCATTGTGGATCCCTTGAGCTTCAGTGAGGAGCGCTTTAGGCCTTCCCTGGAGGAGCGCCTAGAGAGCATCATCAGTGGGGCTGCCCTGATGGCTGACTCGTCTTGCACACGTGATGACCGGCGTGAGAGAATTGTGGCAGAGTGTAATGCTGTCCGCCAGGCCCTGCAGGACTTGCTCTCAGAGTACATGGGTAATGTGAGTATTCGAATTTTTCTTTGAAGTAAGAGGTGTTTTTCATAACAGATGCTGGATCTCAGATGTTTAAAAAAAATTTTTTTTTAATGTCTGTCTATTTTTGAGAGACAGAGAGGGGTGGGAGCAGAGAGAGAAAGAGGAAGACACAGAATATGAAGCAAGCTCCAGGCTCTGACCTGTCAGCAGAGAGCCCGATGTGGGGCTTGAACTGTGAGATCATGACCAGAGCCAAAGTCAGATGCTTGACCAACTGAGCCACCCAGGCACCCCTGGATCTGAGATGTTTTAACTAAAAATGACAAGTATGTTCTTGGCTCCGTGACCCTTTACAGTGGGGCAGAATTTTCAAGGAATGCATAAATAAACGGGGTTCTGTGTTCCCCATCTTTTTAAAAAAATACTTATTTTTGAGAGAGAGACACACACACACACACACACACACACACACACACACACACACACAGAGTGAGTGGGGGAGGGGCAGAGAGAGAGAAAGAGACACACACACACACACACACACACACAGAATCTCAGGCAGGCTCCAGACTCCGATCTGTCAGCACAGAGCCTGACGTGGGGCTTGAACCCATGAACTGTGAGGTCAGGACCTGAGCCGAAGTCAGACACCCAACTGACTGAGCCATGCAGTTGCCTCTCCCAACTTTTCCTAATGAAAAATTTTTAACTTGTGAAAATCATAGAGTGAACACCTATTTTTTATCTAGATTCATTAGTTATTATTTAGATACATGTGTATATTTGTGTATATAAATGTATGACGTATTTCTATAGATATATACATACATATAACATTTTTTTCTATTAAACATTTGGAAGTTGCTGACATTGTATTGCTTAAACACTAAATATTTCAGCCCCCATGTCCTAAAGATAATGGCCTTCAGTATCCTCAAAATTTCCATTATCACATCTAGGTGGCCATCTAATTTTGGGCAAAAAGGAATGGTGAGAATATTTATAGTTGGGAATTTTTTTCGTGAACCGTATAGAATGTCATAAGACTAGGTAATTACCAACTAGAGCTGTATTAGGCAAACTGAGTAGTAATTTTGAATTTTTAAGGTTTGTGTTTAAAAACTGGTGCTGTTAAAAAATAGGAAAAAAAAAGCAGTGCTGTAAAAAATTTTTTCCGTTAGGTAATACTGTATCTACTAATTTTTATTTCTGTTGTCATTATCTTCCTATTTCCTTTAATACTTCAATTCCAGTTGTTTAACGCTTGGAGTTATTGTAATTTATACCTTGTACCCAGTATTTACTGTTGCAGGAAAGGAATAAATTAAATAAAATTTATATAAAATCATTTTAAAGGGAAAAAGAACAATACAAACTGGTTCTTACTAGTGATTTTTGCCTGTTTAATGCTTTTCAGGGAAAGGTCTTGATACTTTCTCATTTATTCATTTGCTGTACATCTTATTTGTTCACTTATATGCCTATTTAAGTGAACGTATAATAGTGGGTCATGATGGAGTTCCTAGGAGGAGGATGAATGCCTTAGTGTGTTTATCTTGTTTCTACCGTATTGTGAAATTAGTGAAGCATATTGAATTTTTTAAGCCATTGCCATGTTTTGATCATATGCAGTCTACCTCAGAAAAATGAGATTAGAGGCTTAGTTAAATCAAATGGAAAAAGCAGTTGATAAGTCATAGTGAAAATGTGGTGCACATTTAAAAAACCTTATCTAAGTTTGAAAATCAGAAAATATAAAAAAATGGATAATTTGAAGAATGGTTCATGATAGTAAGAGTTTTAAACGGGGGCGCCTGGGTGGCTCAGTCGGTTAAGTGTCCCACTGTTGATTTCAGCTCAGGTCATGATCTCACGGTATGTTGGTTCCAGCCTGCATTGGGCTCTGTGCTGACAGTATGCCTTGGGATTCTGTCTCTCTCTCCCTCTCTATCTCTGCCCCTCCACCTCCCCTGTTTGCTCTCTCTCTCTCTCTCTCTCTCTCTCTCTCTCTCTCTTTCTCTCAAAATAAACAAATACAGTTAAAAAAAATTAAAAAAAAGTTTTAAACAGGGAAACAACGGACTCCGGGTATGTGTGTGGATCAGTTATCTGCTATCACATGTAGTACAGTAGTGGTAAAAAAAAAAAAAATCTAATGCAGTTATGATTAGGAAAACACTTTGAAAACAGTCTTTGGGGGGGAAGAATATGTGGTAAGTATGTTCTTAGTGCTCCATATGAGAGCATCCTAACCATTCTGCATATGAGAGCTTCCTAATGATCCCTTGAGTCTTGGGGTTGGTTGGATCTTGGGCTAGTTGTCTCTGGTCGTGAGTAACCTTCTAGTTTCTCTCCAGAGTGTCATACAAGTAATATTTTCAGTTTGTGCTATGGATGTAAGTAAACGTAGGAAACACTCATTTATACTGGAAGACCTGAAGACTATAACATCACTCTTACATAATAACATTTTATTATGTACGGAAAACTAGAACAATGATCTTTGTTTGGCTTAAATTTAAAGATCATGGTGGATATTTAGAAAGATACTATCTTGAGATTCAGATTATACTTTATTTTATTTTTTATTTTTTAAATTTTTTAAATGTTTATTTATTTTTGAGAGACAGAGAGAGAATGAGCAAGGGAGGGGCAGAGAGAAAGACACAGAATTTGAAGCAGGCTTCAGGCTCTGAGCTGTCAGCACCAAGACTCAGGCAGGGCTCAAACTCACAAGCAGTGAGATCATGACCTGAGCCAAAGTCAGATGCCCAACAAACTGAGCCACTCAGTCACCCTGAGATTCAGATTATATTTTAGAAGATTGTCTCTGGGCATATTTTTCTTAAAGATAAAATATTTAGTTCCTTTGTATTGACTCCTGTAACCTTGAGCAGGCTAGGTGCTGTCAAAAGTGATGGAGTGAAGATAAAGTGGAGGTGGGGGGCTTGGGGGAGAGGGCAGTGAAGCACATTTGAAAGCTTAGTAAGTAATAGGGTCTGCAAGAAGCAGAAGCAACTGGGATTATAATTTTGCTTATTTATGAAGCTTTCAAAAACATATAGAACCTTTGGTAACAATAACTGACAGTGTCTGCCTATCACTCTGTTCATACTGAGTATGTGTCACATGCAAAGTCGAGTGCTGGGCACTGTGTAAAAGGAGGAATGATGCACTGATCGTTTCCTTTTGAGAGGGTCTCTATAGAGCATGTATAATAATGACAATTTTTGCTAGTCACTATTTTTATAGATAAAATATAATCTTGCTATAGTCTCTAGTCTTGCTTCTTCATCCTGTGTTGCCACTTAGTAAGTTCCATTGGTTTTCCAAACTCTGTGGCAGTGATTCTGAATTTTGGATGCACATTGGAATCCCTGAGGAACTCTAAAAGAAATCTTGATGTGTAGGTTATACCCCATTTAAATCAGAGTCACTGAATTGAGGTCCAGGTGACAGTATTTTTAAAAGTTCCTCAGGTGGTTCCAGTGGCAGAGAAACTCCTCTGGTGGTTTATTGCATTTGTCCTTTACTGTCTTCACTGCCTTTGCTTTATTCTAGGCTTTACTCAGTTTCTGTGTTTTCTAGCCTGTTCTACTTGCTCAGGCCAGCCTGAGCTTATGCCTTCAGTAGGACATAGTTCATTATGTGTTTGAATTGTTTTCCCACTTCTTTAAAACCTAACCTGCTCTTGGTTCAGGGCCCACATTTCCCCCATCCCTTTGCTGAAGCTATTTCCAACTGCACTATTCTGCATTATTTCTTTGCTGGTTGAAGTTTTGTACCCAATTGTTGACTTCCCTGAATTGTTGCTTAGTTGTATTTTCTTTATCCATGTAATTTCTGTAACTGTGTTTTAAGCTTTTAAAAGACAGGAAATATTTTTAAAATACTCTTTCAGGAACTAGTGTAATACTAGAAGACGTACTTAGTGATTGCTTTATAAACTCATGCTGACTTGGGAGAATGAATAAAACGAACAATTTTGGATATTCATGGTGCTAGGGATAGATTAGTGACTAAAATAAAAAAAGATCCTTCCCCTTATGGGCCTTACATTCTAGAAGGTTACAGGGAAGGAGGCCATGGGTGGTTTACCTCTGCTTCCTGTAGATCTGTCAGTATACAGATGACATTAGTAGAAAAAATTAAACCATGTGCTCTGAAACAAGCAGTGAGGCAAAGTGGTATCCTAGGTCATAGTAGAGTTAAATTTAATTCATCAGGTGAGAGCCAGATTCCCTCTTAAAGGCTCCAAGGGCCAGGAGGCCAACAGCCTTAATGTTCCTACATGCATTGTGGTTTAAAGTGTTGGAAGTTACTTTTGCCTGTATTGCTAACTTAACTGTAGAGAGCTAAGAGATATTGATGTTAAAAGTAATGCATTTGACCCTTACTTACTTAACATTATGGAAATGCCTCAGATGGACGACAATAGAGGTCTTTTGACATTGAATGGATCTTGGTGGTTCCACAAATGATTTCCAGGTTTCCTTGAAATGAAATGTGGTTATTGTGGTTAAGTTTAATTTGTTCCTGCTCTGTCAGCTTAAGGTTACTCCTGGGAGGGTTCTAGAGAAAGAAAAACAGCTTGGATGGGTGTTGTAACCTTAAAAGGTTTAAAAGTAAATGGATTGAAATAAAATGAAATATAATTGAATTTTAAAAATTATCACTTTATTTTTTCATAATTGAAAGTTATGCATATGCAGTAAATTACTGAACCACCACTACCATATGTAGGAATATGCATTCTAATTTTTTCTCCTTTTTTGTATGGAGGTTTAAAAAAATTTTTATATTTTAAAATAGTTTTAACCCTCTTTTTTTTCCCCATGTTTTATTTAATTTGAGAGAGAGAGAGAGAGAGAGCGCGCACACGTGTGTTCCCGTGCACTCGGGGTTCAGAGGGAGAGGGAAGGAGAATCCCAAGCAGGCTCTGTTGTCAGCTCAGACATGGGCTCTGTTGAGGGATATGCTGGTTGTCAATATGTTGCTTTCACCCTTTATTAGGGCATCTGGTT